CAAAACACACTTCCTGGGACTTCACCGCCGCGTTACTGATGCGTCCTGACGATCCTGCATCGTGCCAGAAAACCAAACACAATTCATGGGACTTCCAGGCCGCGAAGCAAAGCGACTGCTGCGCCCTAGCAGTCCGACGTCGTGCCAAAAAAACATCTGGGAAGTCAACCATCGGACTCCTGGAAACTGCTTTAAACTCTTAAGACCTATTTGCGCGGCGCCCCGCCGCACTCCATCCGTGAAGCTCTCGCAGGCTTTTGAAACGAATGTGTGCGGAGCTCCGGCGAGAGCCACACTGTCAGAAGGGACCGCCTCAATCCGTGAGGCTGTTACAAACAGTTGAAGCAAACGCACGCGGCGCTAAGGCGAGAGCCACAATTTGAAAACGGCCCAACTGCAAAATGATGAGAAGAATGTGCGCTGCGCTAAAGCGAGAGCCGCAATTTGAAAAGCGCCCCCTCCATCCGTGAAATCCTTGCAAATTCTGAGCGTCTGGGTCATCAGTGGTGAGGAAGTCTCAAGCGAAACGTACAGCCCGCCCTACCGACACGTCCCGGGGCGCGACACAGAGGATTTGTTTGTGAGCAACAGGAACGAAGGGAGGAGGGGGGAGGAGGAGGTAGAACTGAACAGGAGGGAGGACTGTTTGAACTCAGCCTGGCGTTAGAACTTCTGTACGCTGTCAGAGGAGTGAGGGGGAAGACGGGAGGAGGGAGGATAATGAAGGAGGGAGAAGGGAAGAGGGAAGAGGAAGGAGGGAGGGAGGGAGAAAGGGAGGGAGGGAGGGAGGAGGAGGAGGACGGAAAACGTTGCGACTGTAACAATTAATCCTCTGGGGGCTTTGGAACCTCGATGCCATCGATCCTGGGGCTACGGGAGGGCGCTGGCCCTCGGGCGCGCCGCAGAGGGGGTGGCCAGAGAGAGCCCAGGGGGCCAGCGGTCAGCACACTGTGGCCCGCGACAGGAACTCGAGGGGAACCATGGCAATTATCGGGCAGGTCCCTTGACCCCGATACGCGACACGCAACCCGCAGCGTGTTGACACGGAGCTCAGCAGCTGGCGCGATACGTTCGCCAAAACGTGGCCCAACACGTGCCGAGCCAACACGCAGCGTGTTAACACGGACGTTTTGAAAACGGTCTGTGGTGAGTTTCAACACGGGCGTATCAGGGCAGCTAAGCTGGGAGATATCATGGCACTGGCCATGCTATCCACACCCTGACGTAGCCCTCCCCTGAGATCCGACGTCGCGGAAACACTGCACCACGGCGGAGGATGAGACGACTGGCGTCCCGGAGACCCCACCTCTCTGTGGCACTACTCGAGCCACGAAGAAGGCGAGATCGCACAGCGCGAAACACGAAACAAGTGCAACGCCCAGATCTCAGGGCCACCCCCCTCTTAGGACACCCAAGATGCCCCCCCCCACCCCCCCCCCCCGCCAAAGGGTGAGGGGGAACGATTGCACGGTTTCCTCCGCGGCCGTAGGCGACCCGAGGAGGGGGAGTAGGAGGAGGAGGAGGAGGAAGAGGAGGAGGAGGAGGAGGAGGAGGAGGAGGAGGAGGAGGAGAGGAGGAGGAGGAGGAGGAGGAGGAGGTTGAGGAGGGGGAGAGGGAGGAGGACGGAGAGGAGGAGGAGGAGGAGGAGAGGAGGAGGAGGAGGAGGAGGAGGAGGAGGAGGAGGAGGAGGAGGAGGGGGAGGGGGAGGGGGACGAGGAGGGAGGATTTTTTTTTGGCTCCACGCTCTCCTCTGAGTCCTTAAAAGGAACTGACGCCAACTGCAACGAGGCGGTGCAGCAGGCCTGTACAGCGCGACCAGGGAGCGCAAGGAGACCGTGCTCCGCGCACCCTGGTCGGGGTAGGGGGCGCCGGAGCACGTGCTCCGACGCCCAACCTACCCACCACCTACTCCATAGGTGGCCGCGGTTTCGGACCCCGGGACCCCCAGGACCGAAACCAAAAAAAGGGGCCACGACACGACGCGACACGACGGGGGGACGAAACGAACGACGCGACACGAACGACACGACACGAACGAACGACACGACAGAGACGAGCCGCCGGTCCCGCCCCAGGGCGGCGAGTGCTGGAGGGAACCAGCACCGCCCTGGGGGAGGCCACGGGACCTGGCGACCCCCCCGGGGGAAGGAACCTGCTGTAAACTCTTAAGACCTATTTGCGCGGCGCCCCGCCGCACTCCATCCGTGAAGCTCTCGCAGGCTTTTGAAACGAATGTGTGCGGAGCTCCGGCGAGAGCCACACTGTCAGAAGGGACCGCCTCAATCCGTGAGGCTGTTACAAACAGTTGAAGCAAACGCACGCGGCGCTAAGGCGAGAGCCACAATTTGAAAACGGCCCAACTGCAAAATGATGAGAAGAATGTGCGCTGCGCTAAAGCGAGAGCCGCAATTTGAAAAGCGCCCCCTCCATCCATGAAATCCTTGCAAATTCTGAGCGTCTGGGTCATCAGTGGTGAGGAAGTCTCAAGCGAAACGTACAGCCCGCCCTACCGACACGTCCCGGGGCGCGACACAGAGGATTTGTTTGTGAGCAACAGGAACGAAGGGAGGAGGGGGGAGGAGGAGGTAGAAGTGAACAGGAGGGAGGACTGTTTGAACTCAGCCTGGCGTTAGAACTTCTGTATGCTGTCAGAGGAGTGAGGGGGAAGACGGGAGGAGGGAGGATAATGAAGGAGGGAGAAGGGAAGAGGGAAGAGGAAGGAGGGAGGGAGGGAGAAAGGGAGGGAGGGAGGGAGGAGGAGGAGGACGGAAAACGTTGCGACTGTAACAATTAATCCTCTGGGGGCTTTGGAACCTCGATGCCATCGATCCTGGGGCTACGGGAGGGCGCTGGCCCTCGGGCGCGCCGCAGAGGGGGTGGCCAGAGAGAGCCCAGGGGGCCAGCGGTCAGCACACTGTGGCCCGCGACAGGAACTCGAGGGGAACCATGGCAATTATCGGGCAGGTCGCTTGACCCCGATACGCGACACGCAACCCGCAGCGTGTTGACACGGAGCTCAGCAGCTGGCGCGATACGTTCGCCAAAACGTGGCCCAACGCGTGCCGAGCCAACACGCAGCGTGTTAACACGGACGTTTTGAAAACGGTCTGTGGTGAGTTTCAACACGGGCGTATCAGGGCAGCTAAGCTGGGAGATATCATGGCACTGGCCATGCTATCCACACCCTGACGCAGCCCTCCCCTGAGATCCGACGTCGCGGAAACACTGCACCACGGCGGAGGATGAGACGACTGGCGTCCTGGAGACCCCACCTTTCTGTGGCACTACTCGAGCCACGAAGAAGGCGAGATCGCACAGCGCGAAACACGAAACAAGTGCAACGCCCAGATCTCAGGGCCACCCCCCTCTTAGGACACCCAAGATGCCCCCCCCCACCCCCCCCCCCCGCCAAAGGGTGAGGGGGAACGATTGCACGGTTTCCTCCGCGGCCGTAGGCGACCCGAGGAGGGGGAGTAGGAGGAGGAGGAGGAGGAAGAGGAGGAGGAGGAGGAGGAGGAGGAGGAGGAGGAGGAGGAGGAGGAGGAGGAGGAGGAGGTTGAGGAGGGGGAGAGGGGAGGAGGAGACGGAGGAGGAGGAGGAGGAGGAGGAGGAGGAGGAGGAGGAGGAGGAGGAGGAGGAGGGGGAGGGGGAGGGGGAGGGGGACGAGGAGGGAGGATTTTTTTTTGGGCTCCACGCTCTCCTCTGAGTCCTTAAAAGGAACTGACGCCAACTGCAACGAGGCGGCGCAGCAGGCCTGTACAGCGCGACCAGGGAGCGCAAGGAGACCGTGCTCCGCGCACCCTGGTCGGGGTAGGGGGCGCCGGAGCACGTGCTCCGACGCCCAACCTACTCACCACCTACTCCATAGGTGGCCGCGGTTTCGGACCCCGGGACCCCCAGGACCGAAACCAAAAAAGGGGACCACGACACGACGCGACACGACGGGGGGACGAAGCGAACGACGCGACACGAACGACACGACACGAACGAACGACACGACAGAGACGAGCCGCCGGTCCCGCCCCAGGGCGGCGAGTGCTGGAGGGAACCAGCACCAACCTGGGGGAGGCCACGGGACCTGGCGACCCCCCCGGGGGAAGGAAACCGCACTTTGGCGGCGTCCCCCGGGGTGCGGGGGATTTTCGCCCCTCGGGCCCGGCGCTCCCCGCCTGCGCCAGGAGGACCCTAGGGTCCCGACCCCTCCCCTACGGGAGGGGCCCCCTCGGGGCACGAGGAGGGAGGAGAAGAAGGAGGAGGAGGAGGAGGAGGAGGAGGAGGAGGAGGACGGGTCGCCTAAGCCCTTCGGAGAAACCCTCCAGGAGCAATAGAGGGGGACTGGCTCTACGGGGGGAACATCGATCTGGTGTCTGCGACGCATCGCCGACAGATCGGCGGCATACCCCCGATGGCGAATCCGCTCGCTCCTGGGCAGGCCGGGCCTGTCGGGCCCCTACTTCGGTGATCAATTGACGACTGGGTGTTGGTGCATCTCCTCCGGTCGGCGACTGCAAAGGGTGTGGTTTGCAAAGGGTGTGGTTCGCCACCCGCACCCTGGGGAACATTCTGGGGGGCACCCCTGGGGGGCGCGCGGGGACCTCGATAGAGTTCTCCCGCGCCCCGAGGAGGCCCGACGAGGACAGTGTCATGCCCTCCAGGCCCCAACGATGCCGATCGCAAACCACACCTCAGCGTAACCATACCCTCTGTAGTCGCCGACCCTGAGCCTCTAACATTGCCTCCTGCTTTTCGGGCCATAACTCGGCTCACCGGCAGCCGTTCGGGACGATCTGGGCACCCCCGGAACACCCTCGGCGAGGCGCAGCTGCTGGAGGGCACCCCGCGGATGGAAAGCCGCCGAGAGCCACCACAAACGTCAGAAAACCTCAAAACTCGAATCCGTTCGTCCCCTCGCTCGCCCCCCCAAGCTAAATCTATTCCCCCCCCGAACGTTGCCCCTGACGGGGCCCCCGCGGCGGGCCGTTGGACCGGCCCCGGGGCGCCCGTGCCACATGGGCTTCCTCGTGTCCACCGCCACCTGCGGGGCGCCCGCGCGGAGGCGCCGCCCCCCACGGCGCCCCTCGAGGGCCGCGGCGCTGCCTCCAGGCCCGGGCGACGCCCAAGCATCACGACGGTTTGTTGTTCCATGCGGTCGGGAACTTTTGGATGGCGGGTCGCCACGGCGGCCCGGCGGCACGCAAGACGCTGCGAGCGGATATCGTGTCGCTCCGCTCCGCTGGGCGGTGGGCTCGGAAGGCTCGGGACGTTGACGCTTGGAAACGGGGACGTGGATAGCGCATCGCTCCGAAGCGTGGTGGGCCAGAACCGGTGGAGCGACACGCTAAGCTAATGTTCCTGAGCGTACGCCCCCGGGCCGTGGCAAAACCACTGCGGGAGGCCTTTGCCACTTTGGGCCTTTGGGGGCCCTTACAGGGTTCCGGGACAAGCAAAACAACTACGTGCTCGAGATACCTAAAGATCCGATGTCGTGTTTTTTCAATACGGGGTCCCTGGAAATCTCGATCCATTCCCCGGGACCGGTTTTTCATCCTGAGTCGTTTTTTGACGGTCCTGGGGCCCGGCGAGGGCCCCTGGAGGCCGAAAAGGGCGAGAAACCTCCGTCTTGATTTTTTCAATACGTTGGATCTCTGGGTCGGCAGGCTGTTCCGAGGGCTCCATACCTACGACGACGGCTCCGACCTGCGGGGCTGTCAGAGAGCGACCTGCCGAGATGGAACAAAACAAATTGCCCGCCTGGGAGGGAGCGAGACCCGCGCGGGCCGGGTCGCGAGAACATTGCGACCTTGGACTCGAGGACTCCCTCCCTGCTCCCTGCCTCCGTGTCCAGGGGTCGTTTCGGGAGGCGCTCAGAAGCAACACTCCCGAGGCTGCTGTGTGTGGACACCCTGCGTGCACCACAGACGGCTCACCCTTCCTTCCTCCTCCTCGTCATGGTCAGAATCACAACAGCTCCTCCACTCTCCACACCATTATCATGTTCCATCCTCCGTATCCCCTTTCTTCTCCTCCTCCTCCTCCTCCTTCCCTTCCCTCTCCTCTTCGTCCCTCATCCTGGCCACCCCGCATCCTCCTCCCTTCTCCGCGGACGCTCGGGCCAGTGGGCTGCCGACATCGTCCTCCTCCGCTTCCCTTTCATCACGCCTCCTTATCCTCTGGCCCATCACCCTCTCCCTCTCCCTCCCTCCATCCATTCTCCTCGCCTCTCCAGCTCCCCATCCCCCCAAAATGTTGCATGGGTCTGCCTCCCATGCCACCCACCGTCTGCGACGCGACGTGCCCAGAGGGGGCCGCAAATGCACCCCTGCCCACGACACCGGCGCCGACCCAGCGGGTCAGCCCACCCCGCCCACTGCCGTGCCATGCCGACTTCGGGCTCGTGCCGTGACGACCTCGGCATGGCTCCCTGGCACAGCGTGGACCGCTCCACCCTGAGCGATCGCGGCCTTCCCCGACGGCGCAGATCGTTCGAGAAAGGCCGACGCCTTGGTCACTGGCGGCGTTCCACCTGGAACGCCCGCGCTGGGGTCGCCGCCGCGCCGCGCCGACACGAACCTGCCACGCAGGAGCGCTGTCCTTCGCGTGTCTCGGGCGCTGGCATCGATTATCCTCGAGCTTGGCGGTCCAAATACTGGCATGCCCAGACAGGTAAACATGTGTCTGCCCCGGCTAAACGTGGAAACGAAGCTCAGAGAACGACGAGCCCCGCTCCCGACGTTGCGAAAAACGACGAGGTCTGGACCAGGCAAAGTTAGTCAGCGAGAACGAAAAAGTGGAGCGTCCGCAGGAAGGAAACTAGAAATGTCGCACTGGCGTCTGCCAAGCTGTCGACAAGAACGTTGGTCGTTCACGCCCTCCACGTCCCCGCACGATTGGACAAGCTTGGATAGGCATTTTTCCGTCACACATGATACATGCAGGCGCGACTCGGGAGCGCACGCGCACGGTAATCACGACGTGTAGACGCAATGCGAATGCGAATGCGACTCCGAATGCAAGCTGACGAGGCACACGAACTAGCAAAATGCTTTATGCTGGTGCCGTGGGTGGTAAGAGTGATGCTCGCATACGGGCACGGTTTATGGCAATTGCGATTCATGTCACGACTGCAAGCGATGGCGCTGACATTAACAGTTATCACTTACACAATGAATTCATAACGTGAGGTGGTTGCTCATCCGATTTCTGCCACAGCTACCGTAGCGAATGGTTATATTACGAGTGCCACTGCTGGGAGTCATATTCATATGGATGAGGTCGTACATAAGTTGGTTGATCTCATGAACACTTAAGCCAATACGCATAACCGCAGGAATGTGAGTATGCATGCTCATAGTTACGCAAATGTGCGATCGCAAACGAACAGTAAGACTCATTGCGTAGGCGGGAACACAAACGACCACCACACATGATATCAAGTCAGATCCCATGTCGAATACCAATACGCAATACGACTGCGAAGACCCCTGCAGACACCGATAACTACTGTTCATGCAGTCATGATGTTCAACATGACTCTCGCACTGATAGCTTTCAAGAGTTATCGCCCGCGGGAGTGACGTTCTTACACATATACTGTGTTATCGCTGTAACGTTATGAGTGCTGCCATGTATACTCCCCTGAGGTGGCGCTGGCCCAGATTTAGTCGAACACATTACTTCGACACGTAAAACAAGTGTGGCACCATATCGAGTTTTTTTTGTAAGATGATGTCCCGGCTGCTTCGGCAGCATTTCTTAATGTTGTCATCGCTGCAACTGCAATACTGCCCGACAATAATTATTGTTACCAAAATCAGGAACATTGGCACTGAGACTAGCACAACCAGTGTCACGTTTACCAATACCCGTTCTACGGCCTGTAACAGTGGTTGCGCTGGTGATGCGAACGCGTATACGCACCTCCATTATAATTACATTGCGTGCAGTGTGTGTGTGTATGCTCACACACTGCGCCATGTACACAATACCGTTGACTGCACCTTGGCGAATGTAAAAAACAATACCGCAAGGAGCACGTTACGGCGACGGCAAAGACAAAACGAAGACCACGATACACACGTCAACTGTTAGATAAGCGAAAACGGAAAGGAGAGCCCGCCAGAACAATCTTTAGGTCGCCGGGCCGCCTGCTTTCACCGCACCCAAGCATACGAAACCGGCACCGCGGCAAACCCCACGGCGAACCTTGCGTCCGAGGCGGAGCTTGCCCTGGTGGCCGAGGCGCCCTCCCCACGACGTGAGGCCGCGCGTCGGAACAAAGGGCGCGGCGACACAGCTAAAAAAACAAAACGAACCACCTCGAACAATTTCATGGCTTAGCTTTCACGTGTCGCCCAGACAGCCCGCGACCCCAAACCTACCGACCACTTCCGTATGGGGCAGTCGTTTGTCACAGACCAGTTCTTCATGACCTGGGGCCTCCAAGAGCCGAAGATAAAGAAAAGCGACGGGACTGAAACAAACATTCTGCTTTGAGCGGACCCCACCAAAGATAGCGATGCGGGATACCCAGGGAGCACTGGCCATTGGGCCTGGCGGCTGCGGCCTGCAGTTGTCATTCGTCGAAGGCGCGAGGCGGGATACCCAGTGGGCACCAGCACACTCTGGGCCAAGCGGCGGCGGCGTGCAGGTTGTGCGAGGCGGCTTGGGAGCTCTTGTCTGGGAAGGAACGATCGTATCACGACGAATGCCTCGTCAACCTGCGGAGGCGCGACAGCCCGCGGGAACGCTATCGAGCGCTATCGGCACACTAGGAGCCGGACAAGGCCTCAACGGATGTAAATGTGAGCAGCCCATGGAAGGCACAGAGGTCTGAGTGAAAGGGCGAAATGTGGAATCTCGACCTCGTGGAGCTTCCTCGGGCGTTCCGGGGGACGGGTGTCCTTCGGGCGCCCGGCTGGGGCCCCAGTGGTCCTCGCGGCTTGGCCGGGTGCCCCTCTCTTGGGGAACAAACACTGGCATGGGCACAACGACTCGGAGGTCCGCGCAGATGTCTCGGATCGTCGCTGGATCCCAGAGCGCGCCGGGGACGGCGCTGGAGGCGCCGCCAGGCGCCAGGGGGCTCCAGTGCCGATCCGAGAAACCCGCTTACGTTTATGATTTGTTTTGTTCCTCGACTCTGGTGCTTCGGCACGACGGGGCCTCTCAGCGCGGCACCCCAACCGTCCCAGACATGTGGCGTCTCGGAAAACAGAGGCCGCAAGCATGTCGCCATATTTGGCATGTGGGAGCCAGTTTCGGGCCTCGGGGCACTATCAAAAAGCGACTCGGGATCCGCCGACCCCTGCTTGCTGGGGGTGATAATGCGTGTGAGGTGATTGGCTGTGAGCTCCCCCCTTTTCTTCTCCCCCAGACCCCTAAAAGCAGTTTGAGGGGTCGCCCGAAAGGGAGGGGGGCATGAGCTCTCCAGCGCACCTCCGGGGCCTCCAGAACTTCGAAATCAACCCTCTGTGGGCGCCAAGATGCCCAAGATGCTTTCACGACTGCTCCAGAAGGGCTCCCACGTGCTGGAGGGGACCCCCACAAGGGTTTCAAAAGGAAAGCATGAATCATTTCCCATAAGCTTTCGAATGATTGTCGCGTTCTCGCCTGCGCGGGCGTCTGCAAGCGCAAAACGGCGCGAGAGGCCCTCAGACGGCCCAAGACGCCCCCAACAAGGCCAGGAGACGGCCCAAGAGGGCCCGAAGAGAGCCCACGAGGCCCCAAGACGTCAGAGGGCCCCAGGAGGGGCCCAAGAGAGGCCCAATAGGGGGGGAACCCGTAGGGGACCCTGGGAGCCCTCAACAAGGTGGCCCAAGCGAGGCCCAGTAGAGAGGCCAAACAAGGTGCCCCCCAAGACCCCCAACATGCCCCCAAGAGGCTCTGGAGAAGGCCCCAAGAAGGCCCCCCAAAGCCCCCTCGAGCCTTGAAGAACTCCCGAGGGTCCCCCCTAGGCCTCCCAAATGCCCATCAGAAGCCCCACAAGAAACGCGGAGAGGAGAGCGAATCAGCAAACACCACATGAAAGCAACACGACGT